CAATGCAGTAGAGACTCGTTAAAAAAGCAGATCAAGAACAATCCAGAGGAGGCAGGGAAGTCTCTCTACAAACCAAATGCCCTCTCTCTGTCTGTCCCTCAGCTGCAGGCAGCTGGGTGCAGTGCACACTGAGAGGACCCAGACTCTCTGAGCTGGCAAGCAAGGGGCCGGCAAAATGCTCTGAGCCAGGGACAGAGAAACCAAGTTTGGTGACAAGCCAGTCCATGAGCATTCACTAGACCCAGGAAGGCCCTTGCGGGACCCCAGTTGTTCTGTGGGCACTGGATGAGTAAGGCCCAAGCCCTGCCCTTGAGAAGCTCAGAGTCGGTCTTGGAAGACAGGCAAGCTGACGACAAAGTACAAAACTGAGGCGGTTGATAGGAGCTACAAGCCAGGAGTGCATGGGGGCACAGCTTACCCTCAGTGGAGTGATGAGACCGATTGGAGGTGACATTTGTGCAAGACCCAGAGGGGTAGAAGAATGTGTGCAATGAAGCAGTGGCTGCACGAGATGGATATTTAGGAGTCACAGGAGAGACCAGGAAATGGGTGGCCTGAACAGCAAAGGGAGAACAGGCAGGGAGGAGAGCTGTCGCAGGCATGCAGCGTGGGTTTGATCCTGCAGGAGGGTCAGGGAAGGGAGGGAGGCAGGTACATTGAGGACAGGATGCTGGTGGAGGCTCTGGCTAAGGAGACTCCACTTTAGGAAGCCAGGCTGCCAGGGGCTCATCCTGGGCATGGAGAACTGGCAACTGGACCCGGCTGCTCTGGTCCATGGAGAGCCTATCGCCACGCTGGCACAGACCCCAGCAGGGAAAGGCCAGCCTCAAGGAATGCTGGGGATGCCCAGGGGAGAGACATGTGGTGACTCAAGGGAGGCAAAAGACTGCCACACACCCTCCTTGCCTCTGGGCCAAGGCTGTGAAGGGCTTAGCGAGGATGGAGCTGGGCAGGTCTCAGAGCCCCACTCTCCCCTCGTCTCCCTCTCAGAGGCCCAGCCATCATCACCCTCCTGCAGTATTCAGAGTGCAGATTACCTTTTAATTCCAGAGATGAGCACCCTGACCCTGCCTGTGGCTCCTTCCTGCTGCCTGCACCTTCTGCCCTCAGCTCCCTGAGCCCCCTGGACACTGAGCCCACAAACCCTTGCTGAGTGGTCTCACAACAAGCCAGTGTTGCCCTCCAACCCAACCCAAAAACTCACCTGTGCCCTAAGCCCATCAGGGAACCCTCCTCCCCAGAAAGGCAGAAAAAGAAGCATAACTTGTGAATGTTAACTTTGGAAGGAACCTCAGCAAGCTAATTGAACAGCTCCCACATTCACAGACGAGGAAACTAAAATTTTGAGAGATGACTAGCCCTGCCCAGGATCACACAGACCACTGGCAGCCCAGCCGGAATCCAGATCTTCAAGCTGCCAGGAGGGCTCCGGCACTGAAGCCGGGACCAGGTGGGATACAGTGCAAAAGAGGCCTGTGCTCGTTGTCAAGGGGTCTGAGTTCAAGTTCTGACTCTACCACATTCCCCACGCACACAGACTTTAGAGCTTTGGACATGTTGTTGCAGCTTCCCAGACTCCAGCGACCTTTTCCATAAAATGGGTGTTTAATAATTCTGTGCGTGCAGCAGGATCAAACAGAATCAAGGGTGTGTGCAGCAGAGTAGGGAGTCAGGACCAGGATACTGCTGAGGTCTGTGCAGATGACTGCTTCACCTTCACCCTTCCCAGAAGCCAGTGCAGCCCAGCCAGCCCTAAATCAGACAGCTCCCCCAGAGCTGCCCAGGGGCCAGTGGAGCAGCCCTCCAGGGGAAGGGGTGGATTGCTGCTGGATTTACAACATTTACACATGCGGCAGACCCGCCCCTCTCCCCCTGCCAGAGGTTCCCCAGCACCTCCTGACAGAGGTCATCATGGGGCCATGCAGGAGGAAGGGGTCGGGGAGTGTGGTCCTGCCCATTCCACCCCAGCTGAGAAATCTGAGCACAACATACTCATCCAAGATGCACTAATCCTTCTAGAAAGCAGAGATCGCAGGCCTTTAGGGGAGGGAGATGAGGGGAGCAGGGCCTCCTGGGAGCCATAGGCTGGCTGCCATGCTCATCCACTTGTGGCAAGAGAGGCCTTAGTCTGCCAAGGGCCTCCCTATCCTGCCTAACATCCACCCAGGAGACTTCCATGGACAGTAGTCACCCCACCAGTGGGTATAGCATCCTGTCCACTTTACATCTGGGAGAAAGCACCAGAAAGGAAAACTGACTACCTGCAGAGAGTGGAGCCAAGGCTTAAACCTAGATCACTTGGAATCCATATGCCACACTCTCTTCTGAAGCCACAGTCCCCAGGCTGTGATGTGTGTGAGGATGGCCTGGGGAGTTCTTAAAAGTGCAGATTCCTAGGTCTGGAGTGGAGGTGAAAAATCTGCATTTTAATAGGTGCCCCAGGTGGCTGTGAGAAGGCACTGCCAGCCCACACACCACAAGCCCAGGTGAACACACATGTACACATGCTCATGGCACACATGACAGGACAGGACAAAATGACAGCACAGGACAAAAATGACAATTAGAAGCACAGGCTTTAAAGGCAGATGCCAGGTTTGAGATGCAGCTCAGGTCCTTATGGGCTGTACGACCTTGGGTAAATCTCGCGACCTCTCTAACCCTAAATGAGGGTCAAAAAAGAATCAGCCTTGAGGTCCTAACGTCTTAAGGATGCAAGGAACTACTATGTATAAAGCTCTCAGCACAGGACCTAGCACATCATAAACACTCAAAAAATGGTGCTACCACCGTTGCCAAACTCAGTTCAGTATGTTGAATGCCTAAGGGGAGGAACAGAACACCAGGTACCAGGGGACCACAGTGCATAACTGAGCCAGTAAGAGATGCCTGCCTGAAGGGTTGTACCAGAACCAGTGGGTAGAAGTAACAGGAACACAGATTTCTACCCCAAACAGAAAGAGTTTTTGTATCAGACCGGAGTTGCCCAATCATGAAGCCAGGTGCCTAGTTAGCTGTTGCTAGAGGATCCCAGCTAAAAAGATTTGATGTTGGAGATGCCACATCAGGGAAGGAAGAAGAGAAGGGGTGGCATAGCACTTTTGAAGGTGATATTGAGTTAGGTTATCCAGGTCAGTGTCTCTCCCTGGTTATAATGCTGGCTAATTTGTCATTTGTACTGTCCTGATATTTACAACCTTCACCTCCACAAATCCAAAAGGGATGGGGAGAGGCCAGTGGTAGACAGAAAGGCTTGTGTCTTCTGAGCATTTCATGGTAAGGAAGGGAATGGATGGGGCTGTCTTAAATCTGAGCCCTACAAACACACTGAAATTGTATGCCTTGAAGGATATGTGCATCTGTGCACTTTCCTCGAAAGGGCTAGTTAAGAGGGGCTGGTTCATATCAACCTTTGAGTGAAGGGGAAACCGAGGCACGAGGTGGGGCTGGGTCACTCAGGCTGCAAGAGGGCCCAAGCTCTAGGATACAGCCTGGAGCCCAAGACTGTTGTCCTATGAGCCAGGTGCTTTTGGCGCATTACCTTCAAAAGCCTCACTACATCGACCTGGGGTAAGACTTTGAGCTCAGAGAGGTTAAACACACTTCCCAAGAACACAAAGCTAGTGAGTGGCGGAGCTGGGGTTTACACCCAAGTTCTCTGGGCCTCAGAGCTGGTGTTTGCTTTGGTTTTCATTCTTGGCTGTACTGTCTTAGGTCAAGAAAACACAGAAAGATGTTTGGCTTTGACACTGGGGAAAAAATGTTAAAGATGATGATCCTCATAGGTGACAGGCTACCTACTCATCTACTCTCAATTAAAATTAAATTAAAATTAAAATTAATTTCTCCCCTAAATAGCAGAATAGAATGGGGGCTCAGTTTCCCTATGACTCAAGTCAGACAGCTTAAAAGAATGCAGCATTTGGAAATCAGAAAACGCAATCATTCCCACCAGGCTGGGAACTGGAACCTAGATGGCTTCCCTCTCTATTCCTACCCTGCTTAGCTGACCGGTGAGGGCAGCCCAGAAAACCAAAACCAGACCTCTCTTCAGTGACCCCGCCCCCTCAACACTGAGGAGTGGTTACCAGTTGAACAAAACAACATTTCAAACTTGGGTGCCCCAGGGTGCCTGGCTCTGGATTGAGAGGAGTGGCTGTTCAACTACCAATCCCAGGGTGAGCGGAAGAGGGTCCTCAATCTGGGAAGACCACTGGAAGCGTGGGGTTGGGAAGCTGGAGAAATCCCCCACCCTAATCCCTGTGGGCTGCAAGCGCCAGCTCGGGTGCCTTCCTCGTGAGACCCCGCGCGGTTCTCCCCCAAGGACCCAACGATCTAGGCAGGGCACAGTGGGCAGTTTAAAGGAATGCACCTCGGAAAGATCTCTTTGAAGCGCAGGGGGGCTGTAGGGTGGAAGAGAGAAGTAAAGCAAACTCCTCAGTCTGGTACCCTGACACCTCTCGGCAGGCCCTCAGATTCTTTCGAACCTCAGGTCCCTCTGGGACCCCCGCAAGCCCGGGGACCCCCTCCTGCCGGCTGGGGGCCCAGGCTCTTACCTCTAAGCGCCAGCCCGGCCACCGGGCGCTGCCATCGCAAAGGCGCGGGAGCCCGAGCTGCACCGACCCAGAGTCACGGGGTGGCGGGGTCGCTGGGTGCCGGGGCCGCAGCAAAGTTTCCGCAGCGCCAGCCAGGCGGAGCGGGCCCAGCCGGCGGCGGGCGGGGCAGAGAGCGCTCCCGCCCGCTCCGCGCCTCCCCGGTGCGACGCTGCTCTGGCTGCGGGGCTCCCCCGGCCACCGGCAGGCCCAGCCCGGCCAATCGCAGGCCCGGCCACCCGCAGCTCCGCCCGCGGGTCCGGGACTGAGCGGAGGCGGGGAGGGGAGGGGAGGGATGGGAGGGGAGGGGAGGGGAGGGGAGGGGCAGGGGCACACCTGTTTGGCCAATCCGCCGCACTACTACCACCTCGGCCCCGCCGCCGACTGCCGGACTGAGTGGGGCGACGCCCTCCGCTCTCGGCACGTGTCCCCAGTCCCATCTGGGCCCCGCCACATGCCTCCTTCCCCGTCCCGGACCCAGCCGGGTCGAGCGCGCCGCTGTCTCCGCCAGGCTGCGGAGGGCCACTGAGCTCCTGCCCCAGCCCCTAGGGTGTCAAAGACCAAAGCCCGACTTTGCCCTGGGGGCTATGGGGTACGAGTCGGAGGCGTCGACTGCCCCCCTGCTTGGCACACCCTCTTCCACTCTACACCTTCCTCTCCGACAAGCATTTTCGGGCGTCCGCGTCCTCCGGCCCCTTCAACTTCGCGGGTGAGCTTGCCTGGACCTCTGATCCCTGGATGGGACGCGGGCTGATGCTAGGTGCAGAGCTCTGCGACAGCACGGCAGGGTGAGGGCAGGTCACAGGGAAGGCACCTCCAGCCCTCCCACCGACATAGACCCTCCAGAACCCCATCTGGTTTGGGGCAAACTGCGCCAGAACGCCTGCAGGCGGCTGCAGCGGGTTCCCCAACGTCTCTTGAAGTCACCACAGATATTAAAGCTTGACGATTTTATTGTCCCATTTTCCAGAAAGGAAGACTGAGAGGCCAAAGGGAGGCGAACGCTTCTCAGTCGTGATGGGGAGACTGCGACTTTTCCAAACTAAAGGTGAGTTTGCGGAGCGTGCCTGGCTCCACTCCCTGAGCCCGATCCCCAGGTTCTCCCTCGCTCGGCACCCGCACCCCACTCCCACCCCTAGCCCTGCGGCGGCCCTGGGGTGGGGAACGAGGACGAGGCCCTAGTCAGTGCCGCCCGCCCTGCCTTACCTCGGCAGCAAAGCGTGTCCTTGCAGAGCGCGCCGGTCGGAGGCCCCAGCAGGGGCAGGGAGACCCAGGCGAGCGCGCGGGAGGCCGCCCCTCCGGCTCCCATCCCGGACGGCCTCGCCCGCTCCCCGGCCCCCCGGCCTTCCACCCTCCGCGCCACCTGTGGGGACAGCGCGGCGCCGGCGGCCTCCGCCGCCGCCTCGGGGGTGGGACCGGGACTCGGCCAGGCCCCGGGGTGGGGTGTCCGGGGCTCCCCGAGCTCCCGGGACTGTCGCGGCCCGGGCTCCAGGCGACCGAAGCCGGGCAGGGCGCTATTTTTAGCTAGAGCGGTTCTCCCAGTTGGACAGACAGAACCAGTTAATTTGGCCTCTCGGGAAGGGCCTGCACCCGGAGCTCCCCGGAAAGGCAGCCACAGCTCTGCTGAAAGCTGATCCTTTGCATTCCTGCCTTTCAAGGCGGGAGGGCGGGAGGACGCCTCCAATCCCTGGGAAGCCGGCGTCCTTTCTGAAGGCAGCCCTGGGCCCCAAGTGCACGCCCAGCATGGGGCTCTTTAAACTGCCGCTGAAACTCCACCTGCTCCCCTCTGGCTGACCCGAGGCTTCAGCCAGCTTCCCAGAAAATGCCCACCCTTCCTACTGGTCTCCAGCACTGAGAAGAGGCCTCCAGAAATGGGATCTGGGCCCAGCACCGACAGAAGCTGGCACCCTCCCATGATTCAGAAGCTACTTGTTGAAAGAAAGAAGAGTGAAACTCCTGTATCGGATGAGCCAGAGGGTCAAGTAGAGGTCTTCGGAGCCTGGGTAATGTGGGATGGATGGACAGGGTGGCTTCAAAATCTTGCAGAACCCCTAACCCAGCACCTTCTGACTGTGTGACCTTGGCAAGCCTTCTCACCCCTTGCCTCAGTTTCCTTTCTGCAGAAGGGAATCTGAGAAGCCCAAGAGATAGCATGTGAGAAAGCCTTCGCAAAAAAAAAAAAAAAAGCCTGATGGGCATGTTCGTGTCATGAGTGATGAAGGAATGCAAAGATGAAGAAGATGCTCAGGAAACCACTAGCTCCTCTAATTCAAGGAAAGAGGTGCTAAGGGCCTAAAGAGATGCAGCTACACTGTATGATACTAGCCCAAGGATAGATGAATAGGTCAGTAGACTAGAACAGAGGCTGCAAAAATAGACCACACATGTCTGGAAACTTGATAAGTGGCAAAAGTGGTGCTGCAAGTCACTGGGAAAAGGGTGGACTTTTCTTTATTTTTATTTTTAAGATTTTATTTATTTATTCATAAGACAGAGAGAGGCAGAGTCCTAGGCAGATGGAGGAGAAGCAGGCTCCATGCAGAAAGCCCAATGTGGGACTTGATCCCATGGTCCTGGATCATGCCCTGAGCCGAAGGCAGATGCTCAACCACTGAGCCACTCAGGCGTCCCAAGGGTGGACTTTTCTTTTCTTTTTTTTTTCTTTTTTTTTAAATAATAAATTTATTTCTTATTGGTGTTCAATTTGCCAACATACAATATAACACCCAGTGCTCATCCCGTCAAATGCCCACCTCAGTGCCCACCACCCAGTCACCCCCACCCCCCACCCACCTCCCCTTCCACCACCCCTAGTTCGTTTCCCAGAGTTAGGAGTCTTCCATGTTCTGTCTCCTCAAGGGTGGACTTTTCTATAAACAGTGCTTTTTTTAAAGAGTTATTGGATGTCCACGTTGGGGAAAAATGAGATGGAATCCCTACCTCACAACTTGCATTAAAAAAATTGATTCTAGGGGATCCCTGGGTGGCTCAGCAGTTTAGCGATCCTGGAGTCCTGGGATCGAGTCCCACGTCGGGCTCCTGGCATGGAGCCTGCTTCTCCCTCCTCCTGTGTCTCTGCCTCTCTCTCTCTCTCTCTCTCTCTATGTCTATCATAAATAAATAAATAAACAAATAAATCTTTAAATTAAAAAAAATTTGCTTCTAGTAGGGTTAAAGATTTAAACACAAAGAACTTGTGTAATAGGGAAAGATTTATTAAACATCCCCAAAGCACAAACCATTAAGGAAAAGATTGATACAGTTAATTAACATATAAAACTCAAGGCACTTGGGTTTGATCTCAGAGTCCTGAGATCAAGCGCCATAATGGGCTCACACTCAGCGCTGAGTCTGCTTGGAATTCTCTCCTTCTCCCTTTGCTCTTCCCCTCTACTTATGCACTCTAAGTAAATGACTAAATAAAATCTTTTTTTTTAAAAGTATAAGATTGGGACGCCTGGGTGGCTCAGTGGTTGAGCATCTGCCTTTGGCCCTGATCATGATCCCAGGGTCCTGGGATAGAGTCCCTAATTGGGGGCCTCCCTCAACACTGCAGGGAGCCTGCTTCTCTCTCTGCCTGTGTCTCTCTCTCTGTGTGTCTCTCATGAATAAATTTAATCTTTTTTAAAAAGTATAAAATTCCTGTCTGTCAGATGCCTGGGTGGCTCAGTCAGTTAAGCATCTGCCTTCAGCTCAGGTCATGATCCCAGAGTCCTAGGATCAAGTCCCAAATCACTCTCCCTGCTCAGCTGGGAGCCTGTCTCTCCCTCTCCCTCTGCCTGCCACTCTCCCTTGCTTGTGCTCTTGCTCGTGCTCTTTCTCTCTCTCAAATGAAGAAAGTTTTTTAAAAACTTTAAAAATTTTTTAAATTTAAAAAATAAAAGTTCTATCAAAAGAAGATACTTGGAACACAATATCCAAAACATACAAAGATCTCCTACTAATCAATTTTCAAGAGAAAATTGGTTAGGAACAGGCAATTTGAGGAAGGGAAATCATGAAAAAACACTCAGCCACACTCTTAATCAGGGAAACACAAAATAAAACCCCAGTGAAGTGCTATCGCACACCTGTGAGATTAGCAAAAAGCAAAGAGGAGGGCAGGGTGTTGATGAAGATGTAGCACATGAGGAGCTCTCATACACTGCTGGGGGAAGGCAAAATGGGTGCCACCACTCCGGAGAAGAATCTGACAGTATCTAGAAATGTTGAGAATGCATTACACACCCCAGTGACCCAGAGAACTCGGCTTCTGGGATAAACCTGGGGCTCACTCATTGCCACAGCATTTATCCTTGTAAAGAATCTGAAGCAGGGACGCCTGGATGGCTCAGCGGTTGAGCGTGTGCCTTTGGCTCAGGGCATGATCTTGGAGTCCCCAGATCAAGTCCCACATCGGGCTCCCCATCAGGAGCCTGCCTCTCCCTCTGCCTATGTCTCTGCCTCTCTCATGAATAAATAAATAAAATCTTAAAAAAGAATCTGAAGCAGCTTCCGTGTCCATCAGCAGAAGGCATAAAGGAATGCACATGTTTGGTAAAAGTCTGAAGAAATTCAGAAGAATGATAAATAATACCATTTAATGAAGTGTTTGCCTCTGGTGGGGACAGGTGAAGGATGCCAGGAAGGGGCTTCATCGATACTGGTAAGGTTTTATTTCTTGCCCTGGATCAAGGTCCCAGGTGTTTGTTTAATATTTCAGAACCTTTTTTAAAGATACAGAGCAAGCAGGGTAGTATAAAATATAAAATCCCCATAAAATGCAGTCCTGCTCTGAACTTCAGTGTCCTTATTTAAATAATATGACCATCATGTCTACGAAGTGCTCAGCACAAAGTGTGACTCATGGTGAAGTGCTCAGTAAAACTTGAGAACATGAATAGCCTGCTCCTCAGTCTCCCCTGGGATCCTTCATACCCTGGTCCCAGCCAGCTGAGATTCCCCCACTCTGTGCAACTGAATCTCCCCAGCCCCCCAACCTCCGTCACGTCTTCATGCCTTTGCACAAACTGTTTAGTCTCCCTAGAGTATTCATTCTCCCCCTCTTCTGTTATCCAACACTGGCATTTCAGCCCATGGAAAGCCCCTGGGAGGTCCTCAGCCACTCTCCCAGGCAGAGAGCTCTCACAGCATCCTCCCATCCCACTCTCTGGGTCTATCACCTTGTGGATTGTTGCACCTGGTTATCGATCTGTCTCCTCCCTGAGCAGGCCGGGAGCTCCTCCAGCCCACGAACCTTGTCTGAGCCACCATTGTAGCCTTACTACCCACGTAATGCTGGGCCTCAGGAAGGTCAGATGAATGAATAAAGGAGTGAGAGGACCCAAATACTCCGAGACAAGAAAGGGTCATGCCAAACTCTCAAAAGGAAACCAATCCCATTATACAGATTGCCTGGACTCATCAGATGTTCATGGGAGGTAATATGACCTTTGGGGTCAGACAGACCTGGGTTCACATCTAGGCTGAGCCATTTGCCAGCTGTGTGGCATAGGGCATACTGCTACATCCCTCTGAGCCCTAGTTTCTCTGTCTGCACAGCCAGGATGTGACTAGGGCTTATTGCAAGGGTATGAAGATACCCTTGTATGAAGATACAGTGAAGTAATAGAGGCAAAATGCATGCCCCCATTTTTGGGAAAGGGTAGCAATTATGTGAATATTGGCCAAGAGGAAGATATTTGCGGGGGAAGGTGGAAGAGACCCAACTGGGTTACCATGATAGAAGGAGGCTGGGAAAAAAAATGCCAGGGAGTGTTCTCCAACTCTGCACAACAGCAAGCGACTGCAAGTTGGCCCAGGAGGTGGGAGGGGCAGAAGTGTACTCCATGTTAGCGCTTCTCAGACTCCCTCCTCCTGTCCTTTGTGCTAGTCCTGGGTGAGGGGCTGCCTGGCATCTCAGAACCAGAGGCCCTCCTCCCTGTCTCTCCACGGCTGCTCTGGCCCCCTCCAATCTGTTCTCATACATAGCCCAGGGATCTCAATCTGGACTTGTCTTTTCCTTGCCAGCTTCCATCTGTAGGGGCAACGGAGCCTGCGGCACCCTCCCCAGGGACACATCTGAGGTGCTTTACCAAATGCATCATCTGCACTGTATATGCAAAATCCACATATGTCCACTTGCCAGGAGCTTCCATCAAGGCGACATACAGGATGGCAAATTGCTTATGGTCCATACTCTGGAAGATGAATTGACCAGTGTCACATGTGGTAGGAGCAAACACGTAAAGTCGGCCAGGCTCTCTGGTCACTGGAAAAGAACAGTGCTGTGTGCTTCATGGGCTCAGATGAGATTGTTTGATCTAATGTGCTGATCCAGATCACACTGGACAATGTCACATTATCCCGGTGACACGGACATTAGCTGCTGTTGGCACTTTGTCCCATGCAAATGGCCACTTAAGGTGGGAACCCTGCCTGGCTTAAGGCCTGCCATCTTGACGCTTCTCAGGGAGATCATCCATGGCCTCCTTGTTGCTAACACAGAAGGACAGTTCTCTGACTTCATTGCACCTGATGATGGCAGCGAGATTCAAAACCACATCAACAGATGCGTCATGTGATGAAGACCCAGGCCCACAGACACCTAGGGCAGGGGTGCCATGAATGGAAAAAGAGGACAGCACAAGGAGGTGCTCTGCTGCAGTGTGTGTGTGGGGGGGGGCAGTGAGGGTCACAGAGGATAAACTGCCGAGATGTGCAAACCTCACCCCAGCTCTGGGGCATTTGTGAATTAAATACTGCCTGAGAATGCAGCTGGAGTCGGCCTCTGTGAATGGAGGAAAGTCAGTGATGCTGAAGGGGACACTGGCTCTGATTCCCAGGGCAGCCCCATTCCAAGGGGCACAGCCCTGCCCGATGTCATCAGTCTGGACGCTGTGGTTCCAGCTCTGTGGTTTCTCTCACACCCCCTCTGCCGTCTGTGAATTCTCTGGTGTGTCCAGGCACGGAGGCTGGGCCAGGCTCTGTGCTTGGAGCCAGGAACACAGATAAACAGAGCATCCAGCGGCTCCCAGATGCAGGGGAAGAGAAGTCAACACCACCACTAGGGCCCAGGGTGCCCCCCTGTTCATGGACCCCAGGGCCCACAGGTGAGGAGCTCCCAGAGTGCTCACAATGAAGGGAGTTGGATGGTTTTGGGGGGCCTGACTCACCTGGGTTGGTGGGCTGCAGTGGTGGCTCTAGGAAATGGTTTAAGGAGATGACCTCCAAGCATGTCTTAAAGGAGCAGAGAGAGACGTTAGCCAGGTGAAGAGGGGATGACCCAGGCAAAAGCATGGCTGTGTTAAGGCGCCTGCCCAGCCTGCTCCGGGAATTCCAAACAAGCAGCTGTGAGAGAGGCAGTAGGAAAAGGAGTCTGGGCTAGGGACTGGGGGTCCCTGAGTGCCACGCCCAGGAGTTTGTAATGTTTGGGGGGGGGAGTGGTGGATGCTGGGACACGCAGCCCAGATCCCCGCTTCCAGAATGAAGGACTCACTCCCCCTGGTGTCAGAGGCTGCTGCAAAATGGCCCTCAGCTGTCAGTGCTCTCTGGGGATGGCCTCTGCTGGAGTAAACCACTGCATCTGAGGTGATACCCCTTCCCCAGGGTGTCCCACATCAGTGATGGATCACCCCAGGGCTGAGCCCCTTGACACAACTCAGGACAAGTCTGAAGGGCCAAGCCCTCCCCAGACCCCACGCAGGATGGGCGGACGCCAGCACTGTGACTGCATGGCAGTTCAGCTTCTCCTTCTGCCCCGTCTGGCTTCCCGCCCTTCCTGTCCACAGATGTTGAGCCCCAGAGCAGGCCCTGACGACCTCCTGGGCCCTAGCATATCTCTGAGCCAGCTGCCTGGGAAAGCCAACCTGTGACAGGAGCTCAGGAAGCACTTGCTCTGTGTCCCTGTGGTGGGAAGGAGGAACCCTAGGAGAGGGTGAGACTTTGCAGAAGCTAGTGAAAGAGGTGAGTGATATGGAAGCAGGCAGGCTCTCAGGAGGGGCAGAAAGGCTGGCTCATCCTGAGACAGAGCAGCAATTGGAGGCAATTGGGGGCGGGGATGGGGTCAGGAAATAGAGTGAGTCATGACCCTCACTTTTCTTTTTCTCATGCAGCTAGAAGGGAGGTTGGCTGCTCAGAGGAGGGATTGATATTAGATGTTAGATAGATTCTAGAATTACATAGGAAATTAATGACCAGACTGCGTGATAAATGTTGCCACAGCAGTAGTAAGAAGTACAGGACTTCAAAGGGTAGAAAGGAGTTTGCCAGGAGGCGTGCCCATAAGAGAAAGTCATACCAGGCAGAGGAAACAGCTGGTGCCCAGAACCCAGCTGGGCTAGGATCGCCAGATGAAATCCAAGATGTCCAATGAAATGTGAATTTCATATAAATGATGAATAATTTTTCAGTATAAGTCCATTTTACGTAATATTTGGCACACACTTATCCCAAACAATCATCTGTTACTTACTTCGTCCCCTTCTGACCCTGTTCCTGCCAGAAGCCCACTAGTGGGTCCCCCAAACTGCAGCCCAGGTGCTGCTCAGATTCCATGTTATCCCTCCCATTACCCAAACCTTCAGCTGTCATTGCAGGTCCTATACTGTCCAATCCTCGGCCACTCTTCCAACCCCATCTCCTCATCCTTAAAAACCCCCTTTAATCTCTGCCTCTGAGTGTTTTCCCTGCTATTTCCTCTGCCTCCCTACTCTACCCTCCCCATGTCCACTCCTCTAGGAGGCCTCCCAGATTTCCCTGGGAGGACAGAAGTAATCATCTCCACTGATTAGTAGCAGCAGCACCTTGGGCAAGTTATTTCACACTTCTGAGCCTCCGTTTCCTTGTCTTTGAAATGGGGATGATATCATCTCTGCCAGCCTGCCGAGAGTATGACAGACCATGTTCAGAAAGGACCATACACACTCTCAAACTTTGGCACATCCACCCGGGCTTGTGCCTAGATCGGTGCCTGACATCCAACAAGCACAAATACACATTAGCTGAATGGAACTGACTCAAAGTCCTGAGCTTTTATAGTTTAATTTGCTTCTTGGAATTGCCATCCCCAACAGTGGAACTTAAACAAATTTAATTTCCTATATTAAGATGATCTGAAAAGAGATAAATAATGAAGCCATTGCAATTCCGATTGCATAACAGGATTTTCCAACAGTCGACAACAGACCAAACCAGCTCCCCAGAAATGGCCCATTTCAGCACCAAACACGGCATGGGGCCTCTCTGGCTCAAACCTGGTAAAATATCCACCACACACACTTCTGTCTCAAGCCCTCCAAATCCCAGACCACAAAAGGTGATTTCTTATAACCATTAGCATAATTACCTGACTGCAATGCTATAGAGAAGTGATTAGATGAGCCTGTGATTTCTGCACAGTTATTTGTCTCAAGTAAGTCACCTGAAGTTCATCTGCCGTCAGGATTCATGGCTGCATTCTGTAATCGTAGGGAATTATTTTGCTAATAACAGAGGTACCTTGATCTAATTTAGTTTTAATGCCAGGAGGTGCCCTCCCAGAATAATCAGCTCCAAGGAAATTCCAATTTCCAGCTTTGTTACATGTTCTGGAGAGAAGATTCAATTCAAAGAGGCTGAAGTTACTTCTTTATCACCCAAAGTCATCTAGGGGCAAAATGGAATCCTACCTCTACATGTTCGCAGAAAAATGCAGGGAGAGTCAAGCCACAGGGAGTGGGTGGCAGGGAGGTCCCAGCCAAGAGCAACAATTGGAGGCTACCACTAATGGGTGAGGACCGCAAGGCATTCCCTGGGAGAACCCTAATTTTTCTTGCATTCATTCTTTTATTCCATTTCTGGTCTCTCTCCCCTGCAAGACCTGGTCTTTGCTGTTATTTGAATACGAATATTGATAGCAAACCCTACACAGCCCTGTTCTGGGTACTTCATGCATATTAACATTACTTCCTGTGAGACGGAGAGGGAGGGGGTACAACTACTATCCCCATTTTACAGATGGGAAAGCCGAGGCAGAAAGGTTAAGAAACTTGCCTGAAGTCACACAGTGAGTAAGGGGCATCGCTGGGTTTTGAACCTTAGACTGTGAACTTCCTCAAGTTCATATACAATAAGGAAAAATTCTGAGCCCACCAGGAATTGTTAACTCCATTCTGGGTTTTCGTGCACCCCTCACAACTCTGGTGCCATTTTATTGAGGAAGACACTGAGTCTCAAGAGGTGGTTAATTTGGTCAAGGTCAAGTGAGTCAGTAGAGAAGCTGAGGCGTCACCCCTGAGACTCTGATTCTGTACCTACCGCTGCTTTGGCTGAAGCCAGGAAGTCCACGCAGTGTCTCTGAACAGCTTTGGAAACGGGCTGGGTCAAATGCAATTAAACTAAGTGCACAGTGATAGGCCACTCAGCTCTGCTCTTCCATTTCCACTCTAGAGCTCTTCCTTTTTCACATCCCCACCCGGCACCCCAGAAACCAAGGGTCCTTTGCTGTCACTCAGGATTACCAAATAAAACCTACTTTCAGATTCCTAGTCATATGCTCACATTTCAGCTTTCAGCAGGGGGCCCATGTGTTCCAACAGGAAGGGCGGGATGTGGCTCCACCATCCCACTCCTCTCTAGACCTTGGCCTTCCTGTCTATTCCAGGAGGTGGGTTCTTTTTAAGTGAATGGAGATACAGAACCCTTGTTTCAAATGAAAAATATTTAGATGCAAGCAAGCTGCTCTGGGCAGAGCTAGGTTAGGCCAAGGGCAGGGAGTCTTTCTTATTTGGCAACCTTTTGGCATCTCCGTGGGACCCTAGGACTCTTCCAACAGTTGGGAAACCACTGGCCTGGACAGAGTCTGCTGACTCTTAGAGTTCGTGGGGCCAAGGAATCTGAGCTCCACTGATAGTTGGTGATACCTGAGGTGCAGGGTACACCGCTAAATGCCTGCCTGGGTCTCCCCTTCTCCAGAATACCTGCCCTGCCTGGTTAGGGGAATCAAGAGCCAAATCCAGGAAGGGCACATCAGCAAGGCCAGGTTATGCCCAAGGCCCTGCCTTGGGAAGGGATGAGCTGCCCAGGAGCGTGCCCACGGAGAAATGATATCTGCCTCTCTGCACAGGCCTATGGGTCTAGCTCATCCAAGCATACTCACCGGGCACCGTGAGGAGAAGCAACCCCCTTCCCACTGCTGCCAACTTGTTTTCTCTCTCGTCTTCTCCTTTCTCTAAAAACATAGTTTTGTTAATCCTTCCCTCTTTCTCCTTCTTTCTAAAATGCTTGGCTTCCTGGTTTTTTTTTTTGATAAATTAATTTTTATTGGTGTTCAATTTACCGACATACAGAATAACACCCAGTGCTCATCCCGTCGAGTGCCCCCCTCAGTGCCCGTCACCCATTCACCCCCACCCCCCGCCCTCCTCCCCTTCCACCACCCCTAGTTCATTTCCCAGAGTCAGGAGTCTTTATGTTCTGTCTCCCTTTCTGATATTTCTCACTCATTTCTTCTCCCTTCCCTTATATTCCCTTTCACTATTATTCATATTCCCCAAATGAATGAGAACATACACTGTTTGTCCTTCTCCAATTGACTTACTTCACTCAGCATAACACCCTCCAGTTCCATCCACGTTGAAGCAAATGGTGGGTATTTGTCGTTTCTGATGGCTGAGGAATATTCCATTGTATACATAAACCACATCTTCTTTATCCATTCATCTTTCGATGGACACCGAGGCTCCTTCCACAGTTTGGCTATTGTGGACATGGCTGCTAAAAACATCGGGGTGCA